CACCCGTAATGCTGTAATCCCGCTCACATCCTAATTTATGAACTCAAACGGGCCCCAGTGGGCCATTAGGGAGCAAAAGGACAAAAAACCCCAACCCCCCCAAACCCCCCCCAGGGGAGGGGCCCGGGGTGGAGGCATTAAAATGGTGTTTTGGGGATTTTGGAAAGGAGTTTGGGCATAAAAATGATGTTTTTTTTATTTTGGAATTATGTTTTTTGGATTTTGGAAAGGCGTTTGGGCATAAAAATTATGTTTTTTGGATTTTGGAATGATGTTTTTTGGATTTTGGAAAGGAGTTTGGGCATAAATATTATGTTTTTTCTGATTTTGGAAAGATGTCTGGGCATAAAAATGATGTTTTTTGGATTTTGGAAAGGCGTTTGGAGGCTGTTTGGGTATAAAAATTATGTTTTTTCTGATTTTGGAAAAGCGTTTAGGCATAAAAATGATGTTTTTTGGATTTTGGAAAGGCATTTGGAGGCTGTTTGGGTATCTGTGGGAACCAGAGGCCGGTCCATAGGTTTTTTTGGGGGGGAAAGGTGAGCTGGGGGGGGGGGGGTAAGTTATTTGAATAGGGACAAAGCACATTAATGAACATCAGTATAAAAACAAATGTAAATATGCCGGATTATAGCTACAAAGCTAGTTTTCATCCATGGTCCCAAATACATAAGAAAGAAAAATATAATATACAATATAAGCATTGCAAGGAAATGTTAAGAGTTTAGTGGTAGATTGTACTTGTTTAAAAATATTACATACATGGAAAGAATTGGGTTTTCGGTCAAACACTTTAAGAGATTTTTTGTACAGTGATTAATTCATTTTAAATTGGTAACTATGAGAGACCATAATAAAGACTTCAAACCGAAAAAAAAATCACTTTCTGTTTTGTTTTATTCTTGGATCAGGCTTTAAAGGGTTAAAAGAAAGGTCTAGAGGAGTGAAGGAGTAAAGTGGGGGGGAGGGGGGGGGGGGGGGGGGGGGGTACCTCCCCTCTGTCAGGAAAACAGGTGTGGTGCGTTCACGGGGCGTTGGTTCTGATCCCTTCATCAATCACACCAGCAGTGACCCACTTTTTCCACCAATCCGGAAACGACGCGTCACGTGCTCTGCTTTACACAAATACACGTTAATTTATTGAAAAATGATCCATTTTTGAGTGTTAATTGCTGAACTAAAATCTTGACCTGAACCCCCAAATAGAAGAACACGTTATTCCTTATATAAATATGCTATTGTTACTTTAATATTTGTAATATTTACATGTCCAGAATGACTGAAATCGTTAAATGTGATTTTATTTTTCAACAACACAAAATACATCTCACTTTTTACGCGTTTCTATGACAACACCAGAGTTAAAAATGACAACAGACTCTATTTTAATATGTACTATCAAGAAAAATACTCACAAATTAAGGATTAAACGTGAGTTTGATTCAGTAAATAATAATAATTTTTAATTGGCTGTGTGGGCCTAAAAGTAAAGATGGAGCCTTTTCTGAC